TCAAGAACTTAGGTAAGATCACAGAAATTGAAGTCGTTACGACGCCCTGCGTTGCGTTTTCGTTTTAGTCATAATGTTAACATCCATGACCAAATCCAACTTTTTCAATTCTGCTGGCGGGTTTGATGCAACACTGAGATTCCAGGATACTTTGCCATAATATAGCCGTCAACACCAATTTCTGGAGTTCACCTCGGGTCAGATCATGGGGTTCGTTAGCACCGACAATTGGAATTCACCCAGAATTGCCTTGATGGACATCTCACATCTGACTGGTTGAAAAGCCTTCGGCACCCACTCCGGTTGAGAGCAAGGGAGAGGGGTCCCAAGGGCACCGGAGGAAATGCTGCTCAATCGGGCCGCGTACTCTGCCCGAGAGCCAAGTTCAAATTCTCCGTTTGGTGCAGCGGAATTCCGCTAGCACGCTGGACAGAGACCGTTCAATTTGCCCCTTTTGTCGCTGGCGAGACATGCCATGCAAGTAGATTGAGACATTCCCTCCCCTGACTCTTTTCCCCGCGATTCACAGCCGCCGAGATCCGACTTAGCATGTTTCGCGGATTATGAACACAGGCCCGTCTTTTTTAGGGGATAGCATTCCGGCTCGAGACGAGTTCTGGGGCTAGGCATACGACAATGACGTCGTTAATCTTAACGGCTGGGGCGCGCTCCCGACTAGATTCTCCCCCAGAGACATTTTTGCGTTTAGGGTTGGTTCTTAGAGCAGTGATGGTCGAGCCGCCGTCGACTTTTTCGAGTATGGTGCCTGTGGGAATACGAGACGCGGTTGAGCTAAGATGCTGCTACGATGATACGAGGCGCGAGGGACACGATAAACAATTCTGGAACGCGATGGTTATGAGTAGAATGCAGCGAAATTTCGTACCACTTCGCTTGCTCAAACACATATTAGCTGTACTACTAGTTGATCAACGGAGTTGCCTCCGAGAAGGAGCCTATAAAGAAGGGATCGAATTCGCATTCAGTTGCATTTCCAGAAGACATCTCGATCGTATCGCAACTCATCCACTCTTTTTCCATCTTCAACCTCACATTCGTTTTCACCATCACTCCTAACAAAATGACTTCTACCATGGGCTCTCTCCTGGTCGGTCTCGTCCTGGGCGCCGCTCAGGTCGCCAACGGCTCTCCGATGGCCGACACCGTCTATGTCACCCAGGTCGTCAACGCCCTCACCACCTACTGCCCTGGTCCCACGGTCATCACCCACGGCCCCAAGACTTACACCATCAAGGAGGCCACCACCTTCACCATCACCGACTGCCCCTGCACCATCACCCACATGGGCCCGGTCCCGACCGGAGCCCCGACCTCCGCGTGCGCGACCAACTGCGGCAACGCCTACAACACCTGCCGCGGCGCCCCCGACGCCAACCGTGCCTCTTGTGCCGCCGAGTACGCTGGCTGCTTGGGATACAGCCCGTTCGGTCCTGATGGGTCGCTGATCACGCCGACCGCCTGCTCTGCCCAGATCTCCGCTACCCCGGTTCCTCTCCCCAGTCCCATCGAGGTCGCCCCTTGCCCCGCCGCTTGCGCCGCCTCCTACGACAAGTGCCGCGGTGCTCCGGACGCCAACCGCGCGTCTTGCGCCGCTGAGTACGCCGGCTGCCTCGGCTACAGCCCCTTCGGCCCGGACGGCTCCCTCGTGACCCCCACCGCCTGCTCCGGTGCCGCCACAACCCCGGCTCCCGCCCCCACTGTCCCGGCCGGCGCCGAGTGCCCCGCCGCCTGCGCCGTCTCATACGACAAGTGCCGCGGCGCCCCTGACGCCAACCGCGCAAGCTGCGCCGCCGAGTATGCTGGATGCCTGGGCTACAGCCCCTTCGGCCCCGACGGATCGCTGGTCACCCCGACTGCTTGCTCCGCCGCCGCCACGACCCCGGCTCCGGCCCCGACTGGCGCGGCACCCACTGCTCCGGCTGGCAACGAGTGCGCTCAGAAGTGCGCCATGGTCTATGACCAGTGCCGCAGCGACCCCAACGGGAACCGCTCCACCTGCGCTGCCAACTACGCCGGCTGCTTGGGATACAGCCCCTTCGGACCCGATGGCTCCCTGGTTACCCCCACCGCTTGCTCTGCCTCCGCCACCGGAGCCGCCCAGCCTACTGGCACCGGTATGGCTTTGCCGTCCCATGTCGTTGTTGCTGGAGCTGAGCGCGTGTCCTTTGCCAATGTTGCCACTGCTTTGGGTGCTTGTGGCCTGGCTGCGCTTGCTCTTCTCTAGACGTTGGGACGCTGGAGAGCCTGGAGGCCTGAGTTGGAAAACGTGGACAAGTCGGTTTCAATATGATACATCTGAGGCTTTTTTTGTAATTCGAAATGTTTAATATTTGATGACACCAATTTGTTATGAACCCAATAAGTCAGCCAGTGGCACTATGTCACGTTGTGTGACTCTGCCCATTGCGTGATCCTCCTGAAATGTTAAGTCCCCCTCGTCGTCTAGCATTTATCGCTGCGTAGACTCTCTATGAATTCCTACTCATGTCCAACTGGAAGTCTTTGACAGATATGCGTTGCTTCTTAGGAAGTCTGGAATTATCCTGGCAATGACTTCGTCACCTTGAAACACATAGAAGACGTTTGCCCCCTAAAAGTCGATAGCGTCCGACTTAAGATTACCATTCTGTGATCAATGGCTTTTGCCGCTTGAAATGGCGTCAAGTGTGTGCCTGGCGTCAATTGGCCTCATTGTGAACCTTGATGTTCCAAGCTATCAGAGTTTTCCACCTGCCGCATAGGTGCCTGGTCCATTCAAATCTTCTTCTCCACTTCCATGACCCCTACAAATAGCCATTTTGGCCCTTAAAAACTCATCATACCTGATCTCTACTCATTTTCCGCCTCTCTTCAATTATTCGACATTTCAACACGCCCTGTCCTACCTTAAATGTTGCCATAAAATGACAAAAGTAATGCCATCACACTTCCGTTTGTTCTCCCTCCCCCCCGAGCTGCGACACGAAGTGTACAAGCACTATTCGATCGTCGAGGGCGGCTATTTCTATGTTTGTTCGGCCGACGGTCTCGGCGGTCAATTATGCCAAGCTGATGGCAGTCCCATCGAGGCGAGTCTCATGTTCACTTGCAAGGAGGTGAAAAGAGAGATGGAAGGCATGGTCTTCCGATTTAACACAATTACATTCTCTACCACAACCTCGACACAGCTGCAACGCCGGGCTGCCGACATGGAGTTCGTCATTCGGGAGATTCACAAGATACGGGAAGCGCTGTGCGCAGTTGCTGGCAGTGCTATGACTGATCAAGTTCAAGCAGAACTCAGCATGTTGTATCCTCATTTCATCCCACTACTTAGCAAACTTAGAAACGGGACATGGTCGCCATGGGAGATCCGATTCTCCTACTTGGATGGCATCTCCTACGGCCAATCTCCTTCTCTTTACCACGAAGTTTGCAAGGATCTGCTCCGGGTTTTGTTGCGGAAATGCCCGGGCAGCGTCGCACGATTGGAACAATACTGGCTATGGGCCGACAAGCGGGCTGTATTTGCATACGGCGCAGGGCCCAGTCCTCGTGATGTAGCCCGGTGCGAGTTAACAACTTGGAGCTTTCCATCGGATGGAGAACTTTCAAGCCTACAGACTTGGGTCAGAGTATTTGGGGCATGGGTTCAGACACTATCAGATGAGGGACTATCAGCAGGTGGGGGAATGCCCTATCGAACTACCGACCGCTTCAACTATCGCTTTTCGGCAGCTTCCACTGCAATAGATTTCCTCCAATCGTTGCCTGTTAAGGGCCGCATGCAGCTGCGCAGTATCGTTTTGAACGAAGATAGGGAGTCGGTCGCCTTGTCCGAAAGCCACGGCCAAGGTCTGATACAATTTTGCAAAGAGAACGTCGCGCTTCGGATCGAAAGGCGTGTTGATCTTTGGAGGAACATCCTCCAACACGACCCAGTCAATGCTAAAAGCCATCGTAGACCATGTTTCAACGAATTGTTGACTTCAAACCGCATTATTTGGAATATATCCCAGTAGATGGTGGAAGCTGCAAGGCTGGTTGCGACCGGCATGCCAGAAGCGTCGTTCAAGATGGTAATAGATGCCGGTTCATCACCCCAACAAGCCACTGAGATGTTTAAATCTGCTATTCAACAGAGCGCCTCTTGGCAGGATGCTTGGACTAAAGACCAGCAGAAGAGTTTCGTAGTACAGTATGGAAGTACTCGGAAGCTTCCAGGTCTGATGTTTACGGAATTCCCGCACATTCTACGCGATGTCATGGCGGAGCGGTCGATAATCAGCTGTAACTTTGATGTCGGTGAAGCGTGGTCGTTCGAATCGCAATTTCCACTTCACGAATATTGGACTGAGGAAAAATGGGAGGAGGAATGGGCAGCTTTCTCCGCCACGACTTGGCAGACTAAACCACCCCTGCCAGAGTGGCAGACGCTGGTCAAAGAAAATCTACTGCAGAATGACGGCTCAGAGCGACGCACGCGAAAGGGCAAAAGGAAGTGGAGGGACTACAGCTACCAACTGCCAACGTAGTCTCGGACAGACTGATACGGAATCGGCCGCGGCTTGTGCAAGCCTATGTGACGGTTCACGGGCTGGACGCAAGATGGAAATTTGGATACTGCAAAAGGTTGTTGAAATTACAACATGGGGAATTAATGTTGTGTTATCTAGTGTTGGGATTGTTGGGCCATTGAAGTCGATCTGGCTGATTGCCTCAATTTGTTGACAATCAACTTTATTCCGAAAACTTGCCAGTCATAAAATAATCGTCATGTCCAAATCAGGCCGTACGGAGAGGCATCGTGTTTGCTGCACATACCCCTGCTCCAACGTGAGTAACCAACCCCTGGCCGTTAAGACATCCATGGATAGCAGGGCGTGACACTTTCAGGGATTAGCGCCCTTGACGCGTCCACTTCGCCTGGGATGCGCGTAACCCCACCGACATGCTTCCCAACTTCACCTCAAGACATCCACGATCCCTTAACATACCCAATGACAGCATCCACCACTGACTCCATGGCGTTTCCACCTAGCTCCAAGATGTCGCTGAACTTCCTGACACAACCTGATGCCCAGCTGCGAGAGCCCGCTGAGCTCGCAGCCGCCCTGGCGAAGCTGGACGAGAGACTCAGGGAGTCGAGTATTCCGTACAGTGACCCACTCATCCTCGACCAAGAGATCGTGGAAGCCGATGCGCTCCTCGAAGACGTCGTTCGAACCAGTAGAGACCCCAGTTTTCTCGAGAATCAGAAGGCGCAAAAGATTCTCGGATTCCTCGGTACGAGACTCGAACGCCGTTTGGCCACAGCCCGGAGCGCAATCGCTCGAATGCGAAAAGACCGTATTACAGAACTCCCGACTGAGTTATTGATGGACATCATGAGTCGAGTAACGAACGGCACTTCAAAAATGGGTCTCGACGGTGACGATTTTGTCTCGTCCGATGAACATAACCGAAGCCGAGACGTCGAGTCCATCAAATCTCTCCGCCTCACCAGTCGCCGCATGCGCGATCTGGCCGATCGCTTTCTCATCCGCTCGGTCACTGTCAGAATGATGCCACAGTCTCTGGCTCGACTAGTCGAGATTTCGCATCATCCAGTCTTCTCTCATACCGTTCGCTGCGTGAGAGTCAACTTGGCCTTCTATGCCAAAGCTCTGGCGAACCTGAACAACTTTGCCGGGTTCGAGAAATGGCAATGCGAACGAATACACGAACGTTTCGGACTCGCCAACGAGAAAGCGGATGTAGAAGAAGCTGAAGACCATATGGTCTCGGACCATACGATGGCTCTGCTCAAACGGCTGGACAAGGAGGCCATCGCCACGCGGGAGGTCAAGCGAGGGCGAGACCCTTTCGCTAGCCTCAAGACGTCTTTCAAACGATCACTGCGCACAGCTCATGTGCAGTATAAACAACTCTATGATGAACAGCAACGAATTCGCAAAGATCACAGAAACGGTGTCGATTCGGCCTTTCTGAGAGAGATCTCCGCTGCAATGGCTCGGATGCCTAATGCTACAAGACTGGAGATTTCGGACGAGGATGTTGACCCGGACTGGAAAGACCATTATGACAGGGTGATTCCACATGTCCATACTCTGGATGAGACCACGGGACTTTATCGACTCATGACTTCTCCAATCCGTTGGGAAATTTCGAACACCTGCTCCGAGCAGTGGGCAGGAGCTCCTGTCGGTGTTTTATTACAGCTTCCGGTCGCACTGTCCGAGGCAGGCATCCAACTGACGAGGCTTGCCATTACGGTCACCCCCCCTCGGATAATTCAATGGTCTATGATGCAGCCGACTGAAGAGCTTGCTCTTCTTGTTCATAACGTCAGGGCTCTCGAGTTCACCATGAAATCCAGAGACGACGACGTCTCCGTCACGCCTGCCCACTGGCCAGCGGTACAGGCACATCTAGAGCCTATAGCGGCATATTTGGCAGCCATATCGTCAACTCCAAGCTTGGAAAAGCTTCGCATCGGAGCGGGCGCTTTCGGAAATCACATGTTGGATGAATGGGGCGATCTCCAGCGGTGGCCACCTCTAGCCTCCCTCATCAAGTCCCAGCCATGGCCGAGACTCGAACGTTTGGAGCTTGACAACGTCACCCTCACTTCAGGTCTTCTTGAGGAGCTGATCGGAGAGCGATCCACGGATATGATTGTGCGGCTGGAAAGCGTCTTCATTGACGAAGAAGATGAGGATACTTGGCGCGAAATGCTCGACATGCTGCGGGCGAAAGCAGACCCTTCCCGGCCCAGGAAAGAGGGCGGCGTATGCGGCACGGTCTTTGTCGAGACCCTTTTTGCTCCGTATGGGGGTGAGATCATCGACTTCCTGAAGCGCGACATTGAGCGCATATTCGGCAGCCGGGTCAGGCTCAATGATAAGGCACCGCTCACACCGGCCCTGTCATATTTGAGAGGGCTGAGGTCGAAGAATCCCGTTCCCATGGTCATCGGGACGCCTCCGCTTCCACCCATCCATCATCTCGCGGACGACCTCGCCTGGTGATTTGCCATGGGACATGATGTTCTGATGTAGACAAAGATTTGTTTGGTTACTCAACGCCAAATTCAATCACTTGAACACCCACAGCTCCCCACTAAGGTCACCAGAAACATGTGAGCAGCCCTCGATGTGATTGATAACGTAGGAGAATTTGATTGCGGATCTGCATCGGACGAATCAAACATGCAAATCCGGGGAAGGGGGGCGGTGCCAGCACGGGCTGTGAAAAAGGGGTCCACCGCCCTCCACTCCGCAGACCGCGTGGTAAATGAACGCGCGCGGCAAAGACGCAATGCAATGTCGGCGCCGACTCGGCGGTGACGAGACGGGGGGAGGCAACTCTGAGGGTAGCAGTCTGGTGGGGGAGCGTGGAAGATAACGTGAAAATGCCTGTGAGTTTTCTTTTTTCACCTGAGAACGGAAAAAGCCGGCGAGCTGCAGTCATTATCAACGTACGACGAGGTATCGGGAGTTTATATGGCTCATCTCAGTTATTTGCGTTATTTCTTATCGTTTTTCAGTCAGTGGTTGGTCATCAACGTGGACACAACTTTGCGTGATGAACAATCCAAAATCAAAGTCGAAGGCAATTTTGTTTTACCGCACTTGAAGCCCCTTGCAGAGCATTTTTCATTGACACACTAAAGTCTATCTACATGCACCGTGACATCCCATCTTTTTGCGCCGCTGCTCAACCAAAACCAGAACAATATTTTGACTATGTACATGAACCGAGTCCCAAGTGACAAAGAAAAGGGGAGAAAAGCCTTGCCAACGGCACGACTAATCAAGTTCTCATGAAGACTGTTCACAAGACTTGGTTGGAAGGAGCAGTCCTCCTGAGGTTGAGGATGATCTTGTCATCGGTGTCGTCGCCGGTCTCGTTCCAGCGCAGGTTGTAGATGCCGTCGGTCTCGGTGGCGGTAGCGTACCACAGAGACTCGTAGCTGCCGTCGTCGGCCTCGACGAGGACGAAGTTGCCGTAGAAGGCGAAGCCGCTGGTCTGGCGGCCGGTGGAGGAGGAGTTGCTCTCGAGGAAGGCGACGTTGTGCACGTCGGAGTCGGAGCTGGGGATGGTGAAGGTGAGGTTGGACCAGGTAGGGGTGGTGGTGACGGCGGTGGTGTTGGGCGCGCCGATCCAGGTTTCCTCGTCGTCGGTCTGGGGAGTGACTGTAGGTTGCGATATCAGTAATCTACTCGGACTTGCGAAGTCAAGGGATGTGGGGGATGTTGTATTGGGCGCAGACTTACAGATCACCGGGGCCGCGTTGGAGTCGTTGAACTTAGTGTGGTCTCCGAAGTAGGCATCGCCTGGGAAGAGAACCGTTAGTATGGTGGGGAACTTCGGCAGTGAGGGTCTAGACCGAGACGATCGGATGGTAATGCAGATGGTGTGGTAGAGGAGATGGGACGAAGATGAGATGACACTCTCCATCTGAGGGAATATGGGTTTCGAAACTGAGAGATGAGTGCTTACCTCCAGCAGTAAACAAAGCCAGGCCGCCAATACCAGATCCGTAGGCGTAGATCTGGAAGGAGCTGGTGTCACGACGGACGTGAGCTGACTTGGCAGACCTCACGCTGGCGGGGGCAAGGCCCGGGACCGCGGCGGTGAGGGAGGCAAAGGCCAAGATGAGGCTTCCGATGTGCTGCATTATTGCGATGTTTTGTTGTTGCTTGTTGGAAAGGGTTATATGATGTTGCGTGAGGCGTTGAAGTAGCGACGGACTCAGGTGAGCGGTATTGATATTAGTGTTGCTGTGCCTTTGCTGGTGGTGAGAAGACGAGCAGGAAATCTGTAAGTGGGAAGCAAGTTGGTTATTTATCAATAGCCACGAGAGGCGATATCGAACAATTCTCTGTCCGGAAGATCCGCACCACAACGTGATGTTCCCGCACCACCAAAAACAAAAACCTGGCACAAAAAGCTTTTCCAACCAACAACGCCCAATCCCCCCGTCCCATGATCCCATACTGCGGCTCAGACCACTGAGGCTGAGTCCCCACCGGTAGTACGTAGCAGCTCAATCAATCATCACAACTTCTTCATGCAAACCGCGGCTATCCTCCGCTGTCCAGTGTTTGCCGTTCCGCCAAGCTGTCAGCGGGCTGGGTCCCGAAAAGCAAAAATGAAGGCAGGAAACAGGTGTTGACCTTGCAACGCACAACGGCAGTGCCGTTATCGTTTGTTCTAGGATGAGGGCACATCCCAGATGGCACATACGTCAACACGTCGATTTGTTTTTCGGGATGTGGGATGAACTGGAGCCGACGGAGGGACCATAGCGAAAAAAAGGGGACCCGGGAATCTGTTTTTTGGATGTGGCGCCGTGCGCACGGAAGTCGAAAAGGCGTTAGCAAGGGGGTGGTGATATATCCGTAGGCTGGTAGGTCTTCGAGGTGGACGGCATGAAAAAGGGGATCATTGGAAAGTTTCGCATAGAAGCATCCACGTAAGGGCACCGAGGCTATTCGTAAGGAGGACTTCGGAGAAGAGATGAACACCCTCATCCATCTGGACCACCCCTATCACCGCATCCGCAACCTAGAAAGCACAGACGATAGCTATCGGGCATCCGTAGGGCAGATCGACCGCTCCTGCATCTGTGCAGCTTTTTCTACGGGCCCGCCCGTCCACCGGACCTGGATCAGTGTCCCGGGACGAGGCCGCGCCCCCACCTTTCCGAACACTCGGTCACACCGGCCGTTCTGGGCGGCCTGTGGAAGATCAACATCAGGACCCCTTCATACGTGCCATCTTGTAAGGCTGTTGCGGAGCGACTCCAATGAATATGAATTGCGCCGTTCAGGAAGTTTCCTATTGTATTCGGTGGGCTTGGATGCTACAGTGCATTCTCGTTGGCAGGATTGATATGTCAACAAGATGATCACCAAAGCACGATGTCACATCGGAGAACCCGAACTCTCCTCCCCCAATCTTTGCATCAATGCAGCTCTCTGAGCCTCATTTGTGCCAGAGGTGAATGTTGGAGACCGCGTAGTAAGCGGCAAGGGATGTAGATTATCAGGATTGCGCTACCGGACTACGCGTGCGCTGCACACGCGGCGGATGGTACCGGTGGGATGGGCCTGCAGCAAGACTGCACTGGCATAGCCTTCCTCCGCTCCGGGCGGGATTATCTAAGCCGGAGAAGGAAACGAAGTCCCGGGGGCCCGTTATTGAAGTTGCTTCGCCACCGGGTATGAGCCTTAATATGGCAGCTTTTCATAGCTGGTTTTACTACCATTGCGGCTTAGTCCAGTGTGAGTTCTTACAGCCACTTGTTTACAGCCCTCGGGAAACAATCACTAGAAAGTAAAAGATTGTCCCAGTTGAGTAGAGAGTGACGTAGGCCGGAAGTGTTTGGTGGATGGGCACGAAAAACAATCCATCATCTTCGTCCAACTTGCCTCGGCTGTTCAAGACACATCACCGCCTCGACCTGCATTCTCTTCAATGTCTGCCGTTAACTGCTGTAGAAACTAAGCCTTAGCCGAGAGTTTCAAATAATCGGTAATCCGTCTTCCCTGAGGAGCTTATTGGTCAGAAAGCTTAGCATTGTGTTCCCTCCCCGCCTTTTTCCATCCTCTACGCTTGTCCTCGCTGCCGTAGTATCTACGTTATGTGGGCAGTCGGGAAGTGTTGCAGGGATCCACGCGGTACCGACCGTTTGAAACTCTAGGACAGGTCCTTTCTTTGATTGATTAGATGTCATACCGATCCTGGCACAGTCTTCATATGGGATGAAAAATATCGGGATATTTATAGATGACGTCTTCCGTCAGTCCCCGCCTTGCTCAGCTGCCAAGCCTTAGGCGATATTTCCTTGTCTCCGACCCAAGGGCTGCATGTCCGTTTTGAAGTCCTTGATCCCTCATGTTGCTGGAGTATCTTTCTCGAGCCTAGTTGGAATTCAAAATTTGAACAATGGATGAGGTGCTAAGAGGATTTTCAACAACGTTGCACTTGTGTAGGACATACGCACGCGCGAGACTCAACCTTTCCTCGCCGTTGCCTGTAAGCCTGCCTGCACCGTGCCCTGGCCTTCATCATGCCCTCAAAGTCCACGGCAAGCACTTGCAAGTTCGGCATTCGACTGAGTGGGCTCATGAATGAACTGACTGCCGTCAGCTCCTTGCCCGACCGGAGCTTGTTCTCCTTTTGTATCCCTGTCGAAAAAAGAAAGTGTTGGAGATTTTCCGCGAGGGCTTGCAAAGCAGTCTTCTCGTCGTCATCGCATTTGAAACCTGAGAGGTCCTTTGGCGCTGATGGCTTGATGGAAAGTCGAGTGAGTTTGATTCCGGCCGTCCCAAGGTAGACCAAAAGCTTGCGCACGAAACCGACGTCCTCCATTGTCAGGACGTGGTCGCCCTTCAGGTAGTCATAGTCTTCCCACTTCAAGAAGGGAACTGTGTACCTCTCGGTGAGGTTATCCATAACGTCCTTGTAGAAGTCCAGAGAGGTGTTCAATTTCTTTCCTGAAGTGGGAGACTGAGATGCGTTCCAGCCCAGAATCTTGAGGCCTCCCGTCACCGGCTCATCATAGATTTCCAACTGCGTTATCCCAGGCATCCTCCGTATTAGCCGTGTAAGACTTTCCCCTAAGCTCTGCTTCATCTCCTCTTGCTGCTTGTGGAGTTCTTTGTACGCAGCATACGCCCTATCGAGCTTTACTTGCAGGTCCTCAACGTAGTATTCTGGCTGGTACGTCCTTTCCCATAGGCGAATCTCACGCTTAATTTGAACCTGCTTGAACACCACACGGCTGTCGGCCATTTCCGAGGGGTAGTATGGAAGAATGAGGCGAAGACATTTAACTCCAGGTCCAACAAGTGGGTGAGCAATAACCTTTTCGAGATGCTTCATTGAATCGGTCGCCATTTCGACGGATACGTGAGGCACCAAAAGACGAGATGCCTCCTCGTTGAGTTGACGACAACTCAACCGGATCGACTGGATGTCTTGAATGATGTCGCGGCCGCGATTTGGGACTGGCTCTGTGTAGTCACGATCTGGGCCGTTTGTATCGTATTGGGAAAGGATAATGCCCAATACCTCTCGCGGGAGGCCGGGTAAACCTTTGTACGATAGATACGGTCGGGCGCGGTCGTTGTAGACAGCCCACAGGTCTTGCCGACGCCGGATCAAGTTTCGGATCACGGGGATCTTGGCCTTCAAGCGACGTCTTTCACTACGCCGGTGTCCCCGGGTGCCATGTATCGCCCAGGCCTTTTCGTCCTGGGGAGGTTCCGGCTGCCCCCTCAGAATGAGCCGGAGCGATCGGTCGATCTCGATCAGCTCCTCATGGGCCGCGGCGAGACCAGCGGAGTCTCTGTCAAGGGTCTGCATCTGAGGCGATTATGGTTTTCTGAAATTTTGTCGAGATTTGGAGTTGCTGAGGCCGTCGATTGAAGAGACTTTTTTCTGGGTCTTGTTGTGTTGCAGCTTTCACCGACGTGGCCTGGAATGTAAATATTCGGAAAAAAGAAAAACAAGACAGGGGATGGAGTGGGGGTAGGGGGTGGTCAATCCACATCACATCGAAGTATCTCACAGAGAACCTTTCCTCACCCGGCTGCAGACCAGACGCATCACGAAGTTCGAAGAAACTAGTCAGGAAAATTTGACAAGCAATGTACAGGTGGTCTCAATTGAATATCTACAGTGAAATATGTTCCTGGGCACCGAAGGATGCTTTTCAGCCACGCCAGCCCTGGATCTCATCCAAGGTGAGCACGTACTCGCTCTCGTAGATCTATCGATCGTTAGTCCTTGAACATATTGAATCATAGCGGCTTTGTTTACCGTCTTCAGATCCGCGACGCTGTTCCACTCGGCGTTGTTGATGAAGGTATCACCCCAGACGCAGAAGTACAGCCAGTGGGCCTCGTACGCCTGGAGGAGGTCAGGGAAGGGAGCACTGCCAACCTCCGTCGCGGCGATGAGCTTCTTGTCGCCACCGAGGGCAATGAGATCATTGTATTGAGTGGTCATGGGCTGAGATAATGGTAAGCAAGATCCGTCATACTGAATTTGACTGAAGGGGCACTTACTCCGTGGCCTTGGGCGTAGACATCGGCGCTAAGGATATCGACAGTCTCATCGCCGGGGTACCAAGCCTCCGCAACCGAGTTCCACACCCAGATGAGGTTGTTCAGCTCATGGTGTTTCGTAAGACGGTCGTACAACAAAGCGTAAAGCTTCTTGCACGCCTCGGGGCCCTTAGCACCCCACCAGAACCACGCGCCCTCGGCCTCGTGCAGCGGGCGCCAGAGCACCGGCACGCCAGCATCCTGGAGCTTCTTCAGCTGCACAGCAATGGCGTCAATGTCGCGGATGATGAGGGTGTAGTTGGCGTTGGTGGTGTCGGCGAGGGCAGTCTCGACGTTGAAGTCGGTGGCGCGCGTGTAGAAACCGCTCCACCACTTGTTCTCCTCGGTGTCGTACAGACCCGTGGGCGCGTTCCAGTGCCAGAGGACGGAGACGATGCCACCGCGCTCGGCGTGGGTGATGGCCTCCTCGACGGCGGTTCCGACGGTGCCGCGCTCGACGCGACTGGGGGAGTAGTCCATCAGGTCGACGCTGACGAGGGCGGGGGTCTTGCCGATCTGCTCGTTGACCCAGTTGGAGTAGGAGAGTTCCTGCTGGCCAGAGAGGATATTCTTGCCGTAGATGGAGCGGAGGTACTTGTAGAGGGCGTTGGCGTCGGTGTTCGCCTTGGCGTTGACGAGGGCCTCGTTGATGTTGTGGGGTCCGCGGGCGGCGGAGGGCGTGAGGGTGATGGAGTCAATGAGGTAGCTTCTTAGGTCAGTCATAGAGCATCTCATATCGCGTCAGCTAACTTACTATCCCCAGTTCTTGACGATGTCAATTGTGTTGTTGCCCTGGTTCAGGAGGACCTGACCAGCAGAGACATTTGCCCACGTCTCGCCAGCCGCGAGGAGAACCTCGCTTGCAGCACCGCCATTGAGGACGACGTTGGTGCGCTTCTCGCCGTAAATGCCGGCGTATCTGATGCTCAGATCGAAGAGCTTCTGGCCATCACCGGTGCAGTCAACATTGATAGTGAGCTTGTCGGTGTCGTCTTCGAAACTGGTCACGTATCCGGTGCCTATGAAAACTGAAGTCAGATTGATGTAGTTGCAAATGAAGCTTTCGGTGCTCACCAGTGAAGCCAGCCTGGGCAGTGTCAACCGTCGTGCCGGAGAGGACACCGTCCTCGGCCTCGTAAACCTTGGCCCCGTCGGTGCCGATGCACGACTGCGAATACACGCCAGCGGCAAACGCGAGGACGGCACGCAGAGAAAGCGCCGTGGATCTCGCCATGGTTATCGCGGAAGATCAGCACGGGGATGGAATAAAGAAACAAAAGCGAATGGAAAGATCGGATGCAACTCAAGCCGTCTGGATCAGATCCAGACAGACGGGTGCGGCCGGTGGGATATATACCTCATTCCAACTGCCCGAGACCATTCTAAATCAAACAGCCTGTCAGGCCCCCTCAATCTCGCCCATATGGCCAAGAGACGTAAGGGGAATCACAGGAGGGGAAGATCATTAAGATTCCAGGGGGCGACGGAGGTTATTTTTGCGTCTCCACATCCACCCGCTTCCCCCATCGAGCAGCGTCTGCCGGGATTTGGAGATTTCCTGCCGGGGCATGACGGAGGGGGCTTTGACTTTCGTGAACGTGAACGCGGAGCGAGAGGCTCCGTGTGCGGCGAAAGGGGCAGATGAGGGGACCGATTTGGAGAAGACCCTTGGCTTCATATGGGCGCATGACTGCACAATTGACAAACTTGTGTGACGCAAGCCCGCCGCAACGAAGATCTTGAGTCCTTTCGAGAGACTTGGCCATCATCCGAAGCCCTTCTTAAGCTTAAGGAGACCTGTTCAGTCGGCCTGCTCGTCCGAACTTGACTGAACCTTTTGCGATGGGTCCCCGTCGATCGCTCATCCGACTGGCCCGCCGCCGAGTCCGCGAGGGTTTGGAGACATGGTTTGGGCTTGCAACGCTGATCCACTTCGCATCAACTGGAGACACCACACGAAATTTTCGCATCGTGCCACCGAAAATTGCGCGGCTACGGCTACATGATGCCACTCCCACCGCTCAACGTCAAGCAATCCAGCAGATGCTCGCATCTGCCCGGCTAGCTCAATCGGTAGAGCGTGAGACTCTTAATCTCAAGGTTGTGGGTTCGACCCCCACGTCGGGCTCAATTCCCGTCAGCGATTGACCTCTCTTTTTTGCTTTTTACTGCGTTTGCTCAAATTTAATATTTACTCCTGTTATAAAGACTAAATGCACATCTTCAGCAGTGAGGAAGAAGTAGTTCAGTACACTTTGATTAAGATTATATACATATTATGAGCTATTTAGACTTTTTACTTTAGCTTAGTTGCCGCTCTAGCGACTTTTTGTAAATCACGGCGAGCAACACTCAGACAAACGCTAATTGAGTTATTGTGTCCTTCCTTCTTCAGTTGAAAGTAAGTAGGATCTAGATGCTTACTATTACGTGACTAATAACGGCGCGTATAAGGATGAGGGAGACGAATATTTTCCTTCTTAGGAATCGATCCTCATAGGGCTCGCGAAATGTAGATTTTGAGCCGACAACAATTGTCATCCCAAAAGAATTGATTACGATGCCCATCATTATCGACAACACAATCTCAATTTCCTCTCATCAAGCCATGTCTATCCCAGGATTGTTGCGTGTGCAGAAGGCACATTAGGACTCCATAGCACCAAATAAGCATAAATCTGCTAATATGGTTGGTAGTGATCGGGCTCATCTGAAGTTGAAATATTTTCCATATCATAAACTGATAGCTTTCCTAGTAGAGAGCATAGAAATACAGTCTTAAAGTCATAAGATAGCATAATTATCTCCTGTGTATATTTGGGGCAACACTCTTGAGACTCTCATACACAGCAGAGTATTTCATGTAGGGTCTAGTGTAGCCCAGTGATAGGATAAGTGTGTATCTTCTGTTGTGCCTAACCTCTGGAGGTCATATTAGCTACCTCGGCAGCTCTCTATCTACAAGCAAGGTTCCCGTTGGAGTTGTGAATGTTTATATCTATGCAAATGATTAAAAGGCTGGCAAGCACGCTTGTAGAGCTTTGCACCTACCAAGGCTGACCATATTTTCGACGTGTCCCCCTTTTCCGTTACCGCACCCTGCGCGCAATTCGTATATGTTCTTCCAACTTGTCATGTGAATGTTACGACAAGTTTGCTGGAATTGTCCTCTACAGGGTCCTGTGTCAGCAGTCGCGGTGAAAAGATTTTGAACTCAATACGCCGGCAACGTACCCTCTGCCGAAATAGAGATGACCGTCTCTGTTTACGAAGCAGTCGCCTAAGTTGAGCTTTGGACCGCGGTTCCAGGAGCCATCGGGCCTGCGACACTGGAGACATTCCAACGTTGCAGTGCCAACAAGGTTGCAAAGATCGCACGAGGCGGCGAAGCTGGCGCATACGGCGTTGCCCATGGCAAACAAGGGGACGATGAACTTGGTTACGCGCATGATGACAGACGAAGATATGTGCACTTTGTTGGGTATTGATGCTAATGTATGATATGAGCGGATTTCTCTGAGTGGTGCCCCCTCGCGATATTTAACAGTCAGAGCCAGCACGATTGCCTCGTCCGAGCTAAGCGCAAGAGTGCCGCCATGCCGTTCGCCCGAATATGAGAAATATCCATCAGACACCAACACGAGGCCCACTAGACTGATCACATCTTGGCTTATTTGAACCCATTGAACTTTCGGGCATGATCAGAAGAGGTCTGGACCTTAGATGCGACCTCAGGCCTGTCAAGATGGATAGATGGCATGATGCCAGCCCAGTCACGCTGCTAGCCCG